GTACTAGATATTGACAGGTTACAATAAGCAGTAACAGTAGGTGCAATTCCGTCTTCTAGTGAAGGAAAGAGGAACGCTGAGAGGAAAGTTGGGGCTGGTCATTTGGCATCAACGACGGACAACACACAGATGAAACAGGAAGCTGAACAGTGGTCATGACCCGTAAGAGCCCTAGGAATGTTACCGATACGCTGGACCGATACAGTAACTGATAGTCGGAGCTGCCAACTGTGTAAAGACAGAGATCCAGGCAATCCGTTGCCAGATTTTCCAGATATCCAGAACAATCAAACTGATGGGAAAAAAAGAGAACCATGATAATTTATGCCAATATTTTTATCATGAATAAAAATCTATCAGACACAGCATGAGTAAAAACATATAAAAAGCAGTACAATTACAACGATCACTGGATAATCCCCAAAATTTTTTGGTTCAATGGATTATCAGGCGACTTCTGCCACTGCTTCTTCAATACCTGTTTTAGTTGTGAAAGACGATATGTGGGATACTCCTCCTTTAGTCGTGGCAACATTTTCTCTTCAAATTCCTGCAAAAAAAAAATTAACAATTTTAAGCTCGAACAAAAACGATGATAAAAGGAAGTGATACTGGTTGGGCTTCTTTTGCAGCAGATCGGACAGCAAACTGAGCAGAATTATTGCTTCCAGTAAGTCCATCCTTGAAAAAATTCCCTCCTCCCTCCCCCTTCTCTCTTGCCCAGGCTCCCGTTCCGCTGAAGATGGGAAGCACAAGGTCAAGGAGGACGGGGAAATTGCGCTCTGCCCAAATAGAGATCTAGACTATGAATTAACAGCTGTCCCATTATAATTCAAGTATCACTTCATATTGCCAACAATGATATACTTTCGATCCAAAGAAAATTTTTTTGCTATCACAAAATGTTATATTTTATAACATTCTCCCTCGCAGATTAATCCCTGTACCAAAAAAAGGACTATAAAAATTAATTTTTTAAAAAACTGCACTGTTTTTGTGGAACTTTCAGGAAGACGACTATACCTGATAAGCAGCTTTCACTCGTTTCTCAGGATGTCGATCGATAACAGGCTTTTCAACTGAAAGAATGCTAATTGCTTCGGCAACCGTACGTGCAGTTTCGCCTTCTACCTGCAATACATAAAAATATTACAGCTGTCTAAATGTTGCTCTTACTTGATTTATTTTCGGATGCCCTCCTCATCTATACAGAATTAAACTCCTTTTGGTTCACTCTTCTTCTAAGGCTGGCGCAATCAGAAATCGTGCTGCCGTTCGAATTTTTGTTGACTGCTTCTTTTAAGCGGTACATACACAAGCTGAAATTCTACCTCTACCGTGCGCAAGTACCAATTTACCATCGAAAAGAATGAATGATTCGCAGATCCTGTCCCAGAATAGTGTTGAATCGCCGACCTTCAGGATAAGAGTAGTGTTGCGCTATCACAGTCTGAGGTCTTCGATAACGCTTTTAACAAAAAAAAATAATTGGCCAACGCACGGGCAGCCCGTGCGAAGATGCGTTTTTCGCACAGTTCCCCGCAGTTTTTGTTGCTACCGGCACCGGCTTTTTCGGCAAATGATTCTAGTTAAACAAATTAAGACTGGCCACCAGAACTGTCAGGAAATACCCCCTTAAAATTTCAGCATTCTAGCTTCCCTGGCTCCTGAGTTAGCAACTTACTGGAAAAAAATTTTTACGGACTCGCGCGTGTTTGCCACACATACCTAAGAGTTGGGTTTGAGCTGAATGAAACTTAGGTGGACGGGATATATCCTCTTAAAATTA